GGAAGACATAGGGTAAGCATCATTTTTAATGTGCTGTGGTATTCAATTTTTCTGGCCTCTGGAAATTTGAAGTAAATTTGTGATACTCCTAACTCTCTTCGACTTAAAAATTTCGCGAATTGCATGGCAACCCTACTGTATTAAAACTGTTTTTCTTCGTTTTACATTTGCTTGGGTTTTATCTTTTTAGTTTCAACTATAGTAGCGCTTAGTACTTTTAAAAACATTTCGTGCACTATTCTCTCCTGCGTTTGGAGTGTAGTGGATAGGCGCTTCTCTAGGAATACACGCAAATGACTTGAGGTTCCATTATCGTGTTGTGAGTTTTTCTTTTAAAATTGTGTATCTCCGTCTGTCTGTGGACAGACAGGATCACCAACGAGGAAGTATTAGAAGAACCAGACAGAGCCCAGTCAGAGATGAGGTGGGAGGAAGGCGTTGACGATGGATTTGACACACTTTCAGGAAGTCAAGCAGCTGCATTACAAGAAAAGTGTTAGATTGGAAACCACAGGGTTCCCAGGGGGAAGACCACGTGAAACCTGGAGAAGAGTCACGGAAGTGGATGTACAGAAAAATGGGAAGACATGGAGTGACATCAAGCGACTCGCCCTCGATAGGGAAAGGTGGAAAGTGTTGTCCGTGGCCTATATCCCGATCCAGGGTGAAAACGTGTTTGTTCGTGGCCTATATCCTGATCCAGGGTGAGAAAGGCAATGATGATGATCTCCCGTCTGTCTGCTGGCACACTGTTTACAGACTTATTATCCCGGGTAGCGCTGACAGGCAGGGTCACAGCAGCCCGCTTCCTAAAATACCTTAAGTGTATCGCTGTCGGCAGAACACATTTATAATTAGTACTTTTCCCCTGCTTTCTCTTTCCCAACATTTTTGGTATTTTCTCCCATCTAGCTCTTACCAGGGCATCCGTCTCAACGGGTCGTTAAATAGTGCACGCGCTCTTGGTGAAATCAGGCGCTCGTCAAAATAACGAAAGTGGTGAAACTGGTATTTTCCCACCTGTTTGGAAATTTTTATCAATTTTTTTATTTCTTGGCTTAACCTCTTGTATGTCGAAATAACACCTGTCCATGTGAATGTTACTTTAAAAAACGCTTATTAAAAGCACAAAATATGTCATTTTTCAGTTTTCAAAGACTCTTTGGCTATTGGAGTTACCGAACTTTGGAGGCCATTTTCTTGCTCATTTCACTAGTGAAACCAGGCGACCTCACTTGATTCAATTGTAAATATCTTGAGTTCTATTCAAGATAAATGGATCTTTATTTCATTGAAAGCAAGGCAAATAAATCATATTCATATGGTACCAATAAATCCTCTTGACCAAAAATTGACGTGCGCCTGATTCCGCCGCGTCATGACACAATAATAGTGCACGCGCTTGTCAACTCACTGAAAAACCGATTTTTAACAAAATAAGATAACCTTTCCTACGCGGGAATTGAACTCATATCTTTTGCATGAAATGTTGAAGCGTCTCAGGTGTCGATACGTTTGCCCAGAATAACTTGCTGTGGGTGGTTAGCGTGTGCTCTGGTATGTGCTATATTTTGTTCCCTTCATCCCTACCTAACATCTGTCGTCGTCATCTGTCCTCCTTCATTCCTTTGCGTATTACTCTCTAGTAACATCTATAATCTTCGGCACCGACGAGTGTATGAACTATATATTTGTGTTGCTAGTATTGTACAACTTTCACTTACTTTACGTTCACCCGCCGCATATACCCTTTTGAGTGTCACGGGAAGAAAGAGACGTCTCTCTGCCACCAGTCGGAGAGCTTGGGTTAGGGGATGCCACGAATTGTTAGTGTTTCCCTGACTCCATCTATCCAGGTTTTTCGCGGTCGCCCTCTAGCCTTGTTGAAACTTAAAATAAAATAGGTGTATGATAAGACAATGAGCGTGTATGTACGTAATCACTGAGGCCGACATTTTGTTTCTCGTTTCCAGGGACGCGGTTCCTATGCAGTGTGCTGGTGGCTCCGGTGAAGAATGAAACAGGGGACATAATTATGTTTATCATCAACTACGAGGACATCACCGAGACCGCAACCAAGAATGAACTGAAAAAATTCACCAACAGTAAGATTATTGTGTCCCATTCTGTTTGTTTGTGCGTGTGTTTGTTTGTGTGTCTGTATATGTATACATGTGCGGGTTTTCTTATTTATTTGTTTGTGTATATTTAATATAACGTATATATAATTTATATACTTTAA